ATCATTCGGTTAAATCGAACCCGATCCAATAGAGGTCGAAGCCTGTGATAAAGCCAGGTTTGTTGCGTTTTTTCTTTCAGTTAAATCGAACCCGATCCAAGTCGAGGTCGAAACCTGTGTTAAAGCCAGGTCCGTTACATTTTTATCATGCTAGTTAAATAGAACCCGATCCAAGATCAACATTAAAACCTGTATCAGGTACAAGTCCTTTGCATGTTAAGATCCCGCCAGGTCCATCTCTATCTTGCCTTGTCTGAATAAAATTTTTGCCTTCCCAATACTTTGTATTTGGCCTTTGTTTACCCTTTTAGTTCTGCAAGGCTACACAAAGGGGGCAAGCTGTAGACACCGTATTTAGTCAGGCTTAATATTATTCATTGTATCTTATTTTACTTTAATTAATTTCTTTTTTTAAAATAAATAAAAACTAAACTTTATCTTAATTGGTTTTAAGGTAAAGTTTTAATTAAATTAAGTTTTAAAATTAGATTTTGTTTGAAAATAATTGGTTTTATTTAGATTTTATTTAATAGATTATAAGATTTAAAAAACTGATTTTTTTTCTCTCTTTTGATTTTTTCCTTCATACGTGTCATCTTTCCTTCTTCTCCTCCCTCTTTTTCTCTCTTCTCTTGACTTTTTTTTTACCATTATATTTATGTGTATTTAAAGAGGGCTGCAGTGCAGAGGCAGAAATAACACAGAGAATGGGGCACACATAGGAAGAAAAGACAGAAAATAAAGAACAAAAGAAGGAGAGTTTTGATCCTCTTTCTTTCTCTTTAAGGACGCATTTTCCTTTTCCTTTTCTTTTTTATTTTTCCTTTCTTTCCTCTCTTTCTCTCTCTACAACTCGTCTTCTTCCTTCATCTTCTTCTTCCTCCATCTCATTCCCAAAACCCCTCTCCCAAGCTCACACATTCGACGACTATCTACTCCAATATCCACTAACGGTGGCGTGCATCCTCCGACGACCGACTCACTCCGGCACGGCGGCGAACAACTACTGCGAGCTCCGGCGCCTCCTAACAGTTGTAGATCTGACGAACGTCTACGACGACCTTCAAGGCAGCCGACAACGTCCCCGACGGCAGCAGTAGACATCTCTGGCGGCAGCAGAACTCAACAACAACTACCTCCAGTGTTAACCACGGATTCCGACTTCCATCCTTCTTGGTATCTAAACAACCTAAGTAATAAATGTGGGTCTATGGTTTTGTTTTCCAAAAACAAGAATGAGTTTTTTTCTTAATAAGGAAAAATGTTTTCTCAAGAGGTAAAAAAAGTCAACTTTTTTATAAAAACCATTTTGTTTTTATTTGCTTATGGAAAATAGAGTAATAAATATTGTTAAAAAGAAAATGATTTTTTTTCTTAGAGTTGCAAAGTAAATAAATTTGTTTCAAGATGAAGTAGTTTTTCCTAAAAAATAAAGGTAACTAAAAGATAAGTTTTTAAAAGAACAAATTTTGTTTTAAAATTTTAAATATGTTTTTTAATGGAAAATAAATAAAAAGTTTTATTTTAATGTAAAAGTAGTAAAAGGATTTGATTTTTTAAGATTTGTTAAATAAACTTAAAAAATGAATAAGAGGTTTTATAAATAAATAAGAGTTTTTTTTTTTTGCCTTTTATCAATAAAAAATAAAATGAATTTCAAACTCCAAATGAATAAAAGGTTTTATTTTGTTTTCTTTTTAAATAAAAGATTTCATTTATTTTGTTGGCACATTGGTAAAGCTCTTGTGTATTAATATTTGTAACCCAAGTTCGAGTCTTTACGTGCTTCAAATTAAATTCTATAAATATGGTACCATTTTCAAACGGGTGTTTTAGGGTGCTAACACCTTCCTTATGCTCAGCCGACTCTCGAACTAAAATCTGTTTTTCGTAGACCAAGTTTTTAAAATAGGTGATCCATTAGCCTCCCCCACGAGGAGCCCCGGCAAGTGAAGACCCGATCAGTGGAGTGACACCCCTCAATCGAGTAGAAGCGAGTGATGGAGGACCCATTATAGTAGGTGATGGATCCAACGATCCAATCAAGGTGGATGCTTCTGTCAAGCGACGTCTTTGGAGAGACTCTGAAGCCACATTCGAAGATCCTCCCTGAATAGCTTTTCTCTTTTGTGCGTGAAGACGGTGAAGAGGATTCATTGCCGCTTGACTAGTAGGTGGTTGGACGGTAGGCGACAGAAGAATGGTGGGTCTCTCAAAACTTGAAAGCATAAAATAAGAACCAAAATAAAAACATAAAGATAAGATTCGTAAAAGAAAACATAACCAAATGCAAAATTTCTTTACCAAAGAGAAGTTTCTCACTGTCTGAATCGACAACATATGCTTCGTTGATTTAATCATCGTCTAGCTCATGTGAAGGAGAGGTCAATCGAGGCAAACCTTTCTTGTGTGGTTGGATTCAAAGAGCAGGTCAACCACCTTGCTTACTAAAGACATCAACCTCTTAAGAAAAAGGGCACCATGATTAGGAGGGGCACGAACAGAAACTAGAAAATCATACAAAAAGTCAGAATTAGCTAAACGGAAATAAAATCAATAACGAGCAAAAATATTAGTCAAGTAGGTGAATAGGAAAGCAGGAACCACTGACCCGACGTCTCGAACCTGGGAGGGACCATATGATTGCTAGCACACTCGCGAGCAAATTTCCACTCACAAAAAACTAGGATTCTTTCCAATCTTTATTAGAGTTAGGATAGGTAACCATTTGCTAAGAACGATGCAAGGACGCTCCCGAAGAGCCCTCCCTTCGAGACTCCCGCCATTCTACAATCCTTTGACTAGACTCGACCTCACCCCCTAAGCCTTTTGATCGAGTCTAGCTTCACCCTCTTTCTCATCAGAGTGGCTCTTCTCTTTCTTCCTAAAAAGATACATAAACAGATTCTCCTTGGATGGGGCCACCTTTAAAGTAAATATATGCAAAATATTAAAAATATCAAGTTCGTCCCTTCCGTAAAATCACCTCCAAGCAATGAAACTACCAAGTAGAATGATTCAACTATTAGGTGGTAACTGTGCTGGATCTACCTGGAGTTCACACAAGAAATGATGGATAAATGGGTGAAGAGGCAATAACACCCCATTCTCGAACATCTTTGTGCACAGGGTTGTCTCTCCCTCGGGAGGATGTGTCATACGTTCATGCGGTTTAGGAATTCTCATAGAAATTGACATCGGAATACAATATCGAGAGAGGTAATAGTCTAAATCTTCCTGTACAACATGTGAAGGGATTCCCAGTGATCCCGACACCAACCCATATCAAGATATAGGGGCACTATATTTGTAATCACATGATCCACCCCTCTATGAGTAGTTACTAATTTGGGTATCTCTCTTTCCTTTAAAGACTCGCCACCAAAAGGCTCGCTAACCATTCTATCAAAATTATAAATCCAATTGCTATTAACATCCTTAAAATTCACAGCAGAGCGTTCAGCTAAACCATTCTCCGTCATAAATTCATTTAGAAGTGAAGCAGGAAATAGAAATGTCTCCATGCATGGAGAATCTACAGAAGGCATACCTAAATCTCTTAATTCAGTGTACAATGGGCCCAAGTATTCATAATCGTCTATGTTGCAGTATTCTGTTCCTAGACCAGACATCCTGAAAAGAAAAAATAAAAAAGTAGCAGGATTACCTCGAAAAGCCAAAATGCACAATTGTTTGCCCAAAAAACTTCAAAAGCTGCTCGGGACTCCAAGCTGCTCAAAGAGATTCCTTCACTCTCCTTCGGTAGTCACAACAAAGAAAATTGCTACCAAGAAGAAGCATTACGCTCTTGTACACCGTAACGCCCCGCGTTCTCAAGTTAGTTTTATTTTAAGATTTAAATTGAGTAATTGGATTTTTCCCCTAATTGGATAATTTAAATTATTGGATTTTATAATTTTGAAGTTCTAACTTTGGGTAAATTAGAATTTAAGTTTATTTTCATTGGTTTAAAATAAATTAAGTTTTTAAATTTTTGAAAGAGATTTTAATTAAATCTTAATTCAAAGTTTTGGAAATTTAATTTTCCCTTTTTGAATTTTATTCTTAGGTTTTTAAATTAAGTTAATCTCTTAAATAAATTTTCCAAATCCTTTTTATAGTGTGTTTTCTTTTTCAAAAATATTAGGAAAAATTCTCCTTATTTATATGGCCTAAAATATTATTTTGTTATATTACTTTTTGCTTGGGAAAGAAAAGAAAATTAAAAAAGGGAAATTAAAAAGAAAGAAAAACAAACCTAGTCCCTCTTTTACCCTTTCTCTCTCTTCTTCTTTGTAATAGTCATAGCCGCCCCCCACTCCTTCAGATTTCCGACGACCTTAACCCCTTCAACAAAGGCAACAATCTCCCAAGGTGGCGACTCCATGACCCACGATGCTATCCCCATGGCAGCGCACGACGAACGACAA